TACCCAGTTTGGCTCTGCAGACCACCAAGAGAGTGCTTAGCCACATTCTGTCATTCTTCCAATCATCAAATATAAACCTGAGTACCTCCTATGCACCTGGCATTGTGGTAAGCAAAGGTGTAAGTAATCATAATCAGAGCAAAATAAAATAAATATAAAATAGGAATGTATGCAATATGGCTTGGAAAGGAAGGAGATAGCTTCATGGAGAAGGTCTCTTTGCTAAGATTTAATTCAATAGAAAGACCCATTAGAATAGTGCTTTTGAGGGTCCTTGCATTGAATGCAAACAAACCTGGTGTATTAGTTGGGGTTCTCCAGAGAAACAGAACTAATGAGATACATAGATATGTAATTTATTATAAGGAATTGGCTCACATGATTATGGAGGCTGAGAAGTCCCATTATCTGAAGACCCAGGAAGCCAGTGGTATAGTTCTGAGAACCAGAGAGCTTATGATGTAAGTTCCAGTTAAAGAAGGCTGATGTTCCAGCTCAAGTAGTCAGGCAGAGAGAGTAAATTCCCCATTCCTCTGACTTTTTGCTCTATTCAGGCCCTCAATGGATTGGATCATGCCCCCCTACACTGGGGAGGGCCAATTGCTTTCCTTAGCCCACTGGTTCAAATGCTAATCTCACCTGAAAACACTCTCACAGACATACCAAGAAATAATATTTAATCTGGGCACCCTATGTCCCAGTCAAGTTGACACATAAAATTAACCATCACACCTGGCATTAAAGTATTCACAACCAGGACATAGTACCAGTGTAATAGATAACTTATTTGAAGGAGACAGACAACTGAGCTGCCTTTGAACAGAGAATGTGTACATTTTAAGTAGATCTTTCTTTTTCTTTTTGAGACTGAGTTTCACTCCTGTCACCCAGGCTGGAGCGCAATGGTGCAATCTTGGCTCACTGCATACTCCGCCTCCCAGGTTCAAGCAATTCTCCTGCCTCAGCCTTCCAAATAGCTGGGATTACAGGCACCCTCTACCACGCCAAGCTCATTTTTGTATTTTTAGTAGAGATGGGGTTTCACCATGTTGGCCAGGCTAGTCTCGAACTCCTGACATCAAGTGATCCACCCGCCTCGGCCTCCCAAAGTGCTGGAATTACAGGTGTGAGCCACCATGCCTGGCCTAAGCAGGTCTTTTAATGTTTCCCTGGCTCTAGTCTTGCTCCTTTGCAATCCAGCAGAAGTGGCAATCTTTCCAAAGGATGGATCCAATGTGACTTTGCTGAAATTCCTCCTCTGCTTGCCAGAACCCATCAAAAGCCCATGTGCAGCTTCCCAGGCTCTCTGCCAGTACTAGCCAAGTGTGCTGATCAACCTGCAGCTCACCTCCAGCTTCATCACCCTCCACACCTACATTCCAGCCACCCTGAGTTTCCCCAGAACAGTATAATGATTTCTGCCATTGCACAAAGTATTCTCACCACCTGGATGCTGTTGCACGCCTCACGTTTTTCCACATGTTGAAAGCTAAGTCTAAATTCAAGACCCAGATTAAATGTGGCCTCCTTGGGGAACCTTTCCCAGGCCTGAGGCAGAGGTAACACTCTATGCTGTATCTTACAAGCGCTCTGGGTTCTTCACTCCATTATAACTCTCAGGATGCTGGCTCCCCCGTGAGCACAGTAATGTGTTTTCATTTCTGAATGCCCAGTCCCTAACACAGGTATCCAAGCTTTTTTCTGCAAAATGCCAAATAGTAAATATTTTAGGCTTTGCAGGTCACACATGGGCTTCATAGCAACTACTTACCTCTGCCACTGTAGGGTGAAAGTAGTTATATACAATAGTAAAGGAATAGGCTTGGCCATGTTCCAATAAAACATTATTTAGTTTGCCAACAATGGGGCCCTAACAGAACCTCGGGCACACAGTAGATGTAGGTGAGTGACTAGCAAAGCAGGACCCCTCTGCCCTTTATTTTGAAGGGAGGGTAGAATCCAGCTCTGTTGATGGATAGCATTTCACCTTTCCCCTATACTAACTGAAATGTGAAGCCTGAAGTTTGCAAGAAGGGATGAAAATGTGCATAAGAGCAGAAAGGGTCTCTGAGAGGTAGTATCAAGATTGATCTCTTCCCTCTAAGGTGCAAAAGTATTCAAGAATCAAAACATGTGGGGGAAGACCTAGGGTGTCCCTGATTGAGGCCTATTAGCAGGAAATATCTAACAAGACTCTTGAGATAAAAATCACCATAAATCTGTGCCAAGACATTGTTTTTGGATTTGCCAAAAGGCTGAGCTCAGACCATCTCCAAACCACATATTTGAGCAACATATGTACTTATAAGTCTCAGACAATGTGTCGAGCTAATTGAAAAGTCTGGCTAGAGAAACCGTTCTCCTGAGTCAAGGCTGGCATTACGCACCTGTACCTGAGTATTACTTTGGACTGATTTTTCTTCCAATCCTTTTCACATTCTGCCACAAGTCAGTCTTCCCTCAAGCCCTGTGGACTGACCCCTGCGGTAGTCAGCCTTTCTATGAAGCACTAGGCAGCAGTTGCATGCACAGTAGAGAACAGGCCTGTGGTCAGAAAGACTGAACCTGGACTGACCATCTGGATTAACTTAGCATCCTGAGGTTCTTGTACTTATTACAAGAAGAGAATTCTCAGAGGAAAAACTGCATTTCCTGCTACTATAAGTAGATAGGATGCTGAATATTTCATATTGATGTATTCCTGTCAAACAACATCTATTTGCCCTAAAAAATTAATAATGCAAGATGGGCACGGTGGCTCATGCCTGTAATCCCAGCAGTTTGGGAGGCCAAGACAGGTGGATCACCTGAGCTCAGGAGTTAGAGACCAGCCTGACCTACATGATGAAACCCCATCTCTATTAAAAATACAAAAGTAAGCTGGGCATGTTGGTGGGTGCCTGTAAACCCAGTTACTTGGGAGGCTGAGGCAGGAGAATCACTTGAACCTGGGAGGCAGAGGCTGCAGTGAGTAAGCCAAGATTGTGCGATTGCACTCCAGCCTAGGTGACAGAGCAAGACTCCGTCTAAAAAAAAAAACTAATACTGTAGCCCCTCCCATTACAAAGTTATGAATGAATGAATGAATGATGGAATACATGAACAGTACAAGAAAGGTGTCTGAAACAGAATTCCAAATCTTTGGCTTCAAAATGTTCTACATTAAATATCCCTGAGTACTTCCTCTGGCCTGACTTCCTACATATGCCTTATATGATTTTTTGCATCATGATGTGAAATACACAGCAAGCTGGTTACATGAGACTTGACATAGGTAATACCCTTTTAAATTGTTTTGCCTTTGATGAGTACAAGTTCCCACTTCATAGGCCCCTGCAATCCAAATATCACCACGGTCATACTTTTGGCACAGCATTCAATAGCTTTCCCAAAAACTGTCAAGATCAAACAAGTGACAGTGTTACATTTCATCGCAGTGCATCTCTCAAGTATAACCCAATTGTTTTTCTCAGTGGCCACTAAATCTGTCAGTCAGTCTCCACAGGCTTCTCTGAGTCACCCTACACCATCACTGCCCCAGCTCCAAAACCAGGAAATAATTTAACCAAGATCTTTCAAAGAAAATTATATAAATATTAAAAAGGCTGATGGGCTGATCAGAACAGACATTTGATATTATGAGATTTGTAAATCAATTTATGAACTGTGTGATATATAGGTAAAGGAATCAAGAGGCAATAACCATTTTATGGGGGAAGATCATAAACCTGTCAACTGTTCTATCCCTATGTGCATAAGAGACTACTCTGGTGCCAAAAATTGATGCTGTCACAGATCTCGTACAACAAAGCTAATGCATTTCTAATTTTACTATTAGTACTGTCTTTTTAATAGCCCCTCTCCAAAAAAGGATTTCATTTCTTCTGACATTTCCAACATGGTTGTTTACACAGCTGAGTGGAAGTAACTTCCTCTCGGCGAGCCAGCAAAGATTTATGCCTCAATTTTGACACTCATTTTGCATCCCAGAATTCCTGAAATCAGCATTCCCAGGGCGTTTAGCATGTGTCTTTAATCACTGGTCTCTGGATCCCTCTCAGATGCTATTTGGTGTTTAAACACTCTTCTATTTTTCCAGAAAGTCCTATGAAATGCCATTCTGTGACACAGAAGTAGAAGAGCTCCCGAGATCCCATTGAAACATACAGGACAAATGTTTCATTACACAAAGTGTGCTGGCTTGACAAGAGTTTCTGCTGCATTCCAAATCATGGCTTAGGGACAGAATGCTACCAGCTTCCAGCAATATTTCCTATTTATTTTGGTGTTTTGACGGTTTCCCTATCTATCAGGCTAAGTGTGTATAGGAGCCTCAGACATTCATACTTGCTGTTTGACCTCGGGCAACTCACTGCTCCACTTGGATGGAGGATCTATCTAAGCAACAGGGATATTGATACCTGCCATTCCACCTAACAGAATGCAGTATCAAATAAGAAAATAGATATAAATGCATTTTACTGTACAAGTAAAGCAGAATAATATAGTAGATAGAATGGGGGCTCTGAAGCCAAACAACTCAGGTAAGAATCCTGAATCCCTTTTGTACAACCAGAGATATCTACTTTCTCTCTCTGAGCCTGTTTCTTCACCCATACAAGGAGAAAATTATAATTTTCTTGTAGGATTCTTGAAAGCAAATGTGCCGCTGGGTATAGTAGGTACGTAATACATGAGTTCATAATCAGAACACATTTATTATTATTCTCCTGCCTATAGGCATTTGCCCAAGCCCTTCTCTTCACACATCTACCAAAATGAAAGTGAAGTCCAAACCAGTGATCAAACAAGTGTTTCATGTATTGTCTTTCATGCACAACACACATATCTCAAAGCATTCTCCCAGAGGAATGGATCCACCATCCTATAGAGAAGGTGCTCCATGGAAGGAAGAGTATTGAACTAAAAAATCTTTTTTTGGAAGAAGGCCAGAGCATCAGTCACATCAAACCAAATGGACAGACAGCAACAGGGTTTACCATTTCCTTTGGAGGTGTCGAACAGGACTGAAGGGCTGCAAACAGCATCACTTAAGGACTCTTCAAAGTTTTCAAGTACTAGCCATGTTACACCACCATCTGAAATAGAAAGCATCTCATTAAGGGAAACTACTGTTAACGAGATAATGAAATAGAATGTGTAATTCATCTTTGGACTCAAACATACTCATGGCTATTTTGATATAGCTGCTTTAAGTCAATTTCCCTAACACATTCATAATGAATTATGATAAGGAGTTTATAGCAACATGTCAAAGTCAGTGTACCATTTAATGACATGAGATGCTATTTGCTCAGTAGCTGGCATCTGCATGTGCTGGAAGGCTGCCTCAGTGTCACTCTGAGGAAGAGCTGTTGTGATCCCATTTTGCAGATGGATAATTTGATAGCAAGCAACTAGCTAGGGTTACTTAATACACTTAAATATAAATGATATTAAGAGATTGTATTAGACAATCTGTAATACAACTTCTAAAAGTATTATTTTTCTGATTTCTCCCAAGTCATAACTGCAAAAAATACTGGATACAAATCGAGTGGGTAAAAAATACGGAAACAGAAATTAGGCTAGTGCTGTCCAACAGAAACTTCCTATGATGATGAGATTTTCTATAACTCACTGTCCATAACATCGGCCATTAGCCACCTGTGATTAGTGAGCATTTGAAATATGGCAAAACTAAAAAACTGAATTTTAAATTTCATTTTATGTTAATTCATGTAAATTTTCATTTAAATAGACATATACTCCTGTTGGCTACAGTATCGGACAGCACAGGCATAGGCAAAAACGTGACTTTCCATGGTAAGTCTGGCAGAGGAATATCACAAAAGGAGGACTATCAGACAAGGAGGAATATCAGACAAGGAGGAATATCAGATAAGGAGGAAGCAGGAACTGGAATCCCTAGAATGTAAGGAACTGCTCTTTCATAGTCTGGATATAGTTCAAAAATTCCATGATAGAAGACCTAGACCAGGTGGACAGATCCCCCCTTTATCCATTTCAGATAAGCCTACCTTTTTATCACCAACAAGGAAGCTTCTTACAATAGCCTCTTGGGTAAGAGTTCCATACATATAGAGTTACCATTAAATGTACCATTCGACTTGTGACACTTTTGATAGTTAGAATGGTCATTATTAATAATTACACTGGGAAAATGAACAGACACCAGGACCATCCCAGGCAAACCTCGTCACACAGTCACCTAAATTTAGGAGATTCTACAAATGCACATTCTCTGGCACACAGGACCACAGAAAGTCCTTGTTTACAGTATCAGGCTATGCTCTACAAAGTATTTTACAGATTACAGTCCACAAACCGACTATGGAGTCACCTGGAGTACTTCTTAAAAATGCAGACAGACTCCTGGGTTCTACCTTAGACCTAATAATCAGACTCTTTAGAGGTAGGGCTTCAAAATCCGAATTACCAGGTAATTGTTATACACAAACCACAATACAGAGAAAGACAGTATCTGAAAATTGTATCCTATGGAGCAAAATTCAACAGTCAGTAGACAAAGGGGTAGGGGCAACTATTGTTTCTAAATTGTATTAATGATGCCATCTATGAACTATATTTGACAAGTATCATCTTAGATTATTTGTAAGCATACTCATGCTCAAAATGTTCTTCTAAGCAAAGGAGGAAGTAACAAAAAAGGACAATAAACTCTTCCCACTCTGATTCTTTATGTCTACAGATTCTTCCAATGTCTGCCTCCTGAGACAGATTACCATGGACATGCTGCAAAACCAAAACTGATTTATTCTTCCCAGTCTGTCCAAGGGTGGGCTATAGAGAGAAAGACTAAAACAAGCAAACCAATATATAACTCAAATAGAGGTCAGTGCTATGAAGAAATTTAAACATCCTGATGGGACACTAGAATGTAAAGCACACGAAGGCAGGAATTTATGTTGGTCTTGTTTGCTGAGTTATTCCCAGTATCTGAAACATAGCAGGCATCCAATAAGTACTTGTTCTATAAACAGACATGATGAAGGGACAGAAAAGGACTACTTTAGATAGAATAAATAGGCAATAACCTCTCAACTAAGAAGGTTCTTCCAAGCTAGGAAGACCCCAGCAAAGAACTTTTTGGCAGAAAAAATAGGAGCTACAAAGGCCTTGGGGTTGAAACAAGCTTGTCCTATTCCATGAACAAAGTCCTGTGGTTCAGCCTGGTGACCGAGGGGAGAGTGGGACTAGGTGATGTCAGTGGAATAGGCTGGCACCAGATCATATAGGATCTTTTGGGAAGCCAGTGCTTTTAAAGCAGAGGAGTCAGATGATCTGGTCTATGATTTGCAAGTTTACTTTAACTGCCCTGAGGAAAATAATGTGTAGGAACACACAAGTGGAAGTAGAAACACCACCTAGGAGGTTATTACAGGACAGCCGATAAGAGATAATGGAGACACAGACTAGGGTAGCAGGCAGAAGAGATGGAGAAAAGTGGGCAGATAAAAGACATATTTTTAGAGAAAGAGAAGGTGATGGCCACTGATGGTTTTGATGTGAATAATAAAACAAATAGAGAATTACAGATAGATGGATCCAGGTTTCCAGTTTGAACAGTAAGCATTTTCCACGCCACATTTCAATGAGTTCTGGTATTTCATGTGTTCATGTGCTCTGAGGACATGTCTGCACACATGCCTGGGCTAAAGGTGCCCTCTCAACCTCACCTTTCAGGAAAAGAAAAGGCTGAAACTTCACCCTGAGTATAGAAAGGTCCATACTGTAAATAATAAAGACACTTGCCAGGTGGAAATGGCAGTTTCAGTTTCCTTGTAGTTTTGGCTAAGAGGCCTCTCATCTCTCTTAATAGAAGAATTAACGGCAACAAGTTGCAACAAATCTCACCCACGGGGATGTTCTCTCTCCTTAGTCACCTTAAGGAAATAGAATTTAGATTTTCAAAGTGCCAGTTGCTAGATGAGTACCAGGAAGTTGCTATTATGGAGCTGGTTCTGAACATAATCTACAGAACAGGGATACTGGGCTGGTCTAGGTGGGATCCAGCAGGTAGCACCAAGATCAAATGGAGAAGGTGCCCAAAGCCATGTTCAAGACTGGAAACCAAGAATCTGTAGCTAAAGAAATGTCCAAAATTAAAGGATTCTGAAACATGAGGAGTAATCTCCAGGGTGACCCGATGGACTTTATCAGATGGCTTAAATACTTGCTGGGACCTCCCAGCTTTTCACCCATGCCTCAAAGTCACTCAGATCATCTAACTGACCATCATTTCAGCAATGAAAAAAGTGAGAAGAGGATCAAAGTGTTTTCTATCAATACCAAATTAATTATAGAAAACTGCCTCTGTTTTTACATTGCTCATTTCATCACATCATAGTGTTTAAAGCTACATCTTCCAACGGAAATGAACAAAAGTGGATGCTGCCAATATGCCACCTTTGAGTATGAAAAGGACTCAGCTGATATTTGAAGGATGTTTCCACTGATTGCCTATTGTCATAGCATGAGATTAAAGGGGAGACAAAGTATGGCTTGCGATTGTTACAGCCTTGACGAGAAAGGCCTCCAGTCACATCTTATTAATTTACTATGGAACAGAATGTCACATTGACATTTCGAATTATCCTGTTGCTTTGTTCACAGAATTACATTGAGTTTAAACTCATTGAGTTCCTAGTTTGGCTATTTATATGAGCTACAACTCTAATCTTCTGATGTCTTGACCTGCACACAAGACCAAATTTTACTATTTATAAAAATGATTAATTGCCCAGTCTTAGGGGGCAAATAGATGTAGGCTCAAATATTCCTTGATCCACTTCCTAACTGGATCTTCTTGGGCAAGTGATTTATCCTCTCTGTGACTTAGTTTCCTCATTTGTGATAAGAAAAGGAATATCTACCTTATGAGTTTCTAATGAGGATCAAATGAGATAATATATGAAAAGCATTTAAAACTATCAAAAAGACAACTAGTAATAAAATAGCAACAACAATGAAAACAGTTAACATTTTCAGCACTCCCCAGTTGCCAGACCTTTACCTATATAACTTAAATATATTTACTAACGTATTTATCACAGCAACTCCTAAATTAGATACTGTAATTATTTTCTCCATTTTACAGATGAGGCAACTGAGTACTCAAAGTTTAGATTATGTGCCAAGAGTACAGCCCAGGCAATCTGGCTTCAGAGCCTGTGCTTACATACTCTGCTATTTGGCATCTATCTGGATTTCTTGACATAGGCACCCTTCCCAAATTTAGATCTCCAGCCCAGATATCACCCTGAAATCCAAGCTCACATATCCTATATCCAAATGCTTCCTCATTGCTTTCCCCTCAATATCTAACAGACTCTCAAATTTCACAAGTCCAAACTCAATACAGAGTTAAATGAGTTCTTCATCCTTGCTCTGAAACCCACACTAGCCACGGTCTTCTCCATCTCGGCTTATGTCAGTTCCATCCTTCCAGAAGCTATTGGTCATTCTTCATGCCTCACTTACCCTCAAACTATACACCTACTCCATTAGAAGTGTTGCTACTACCTTCAAAATACATCCAGAAATCAACCACTTCTCACTATGTCCTCTATATCACCCTGGCCCAAGTCACCATCTATTGCAGGATCCCTGTGATTACCTCTTGATAGGTCCCTCCAAATCTGACCTGAGCCCCTTCATTCAATACTCAACTTCTCAATATCCTCCAATGTCTCTTAGTCCCAGCCAGGGTAAAAGTCAACACTTATACAATGTCCTCCAGGCCCTTAATGATCTGACCCCACTATCATCTCTGACCTAGCCTCCTACTCCATCCCCTTTCACTTACTCTAGTCCAGCCATGATGACACCTGCTCTTTATGAAACACATCTGAAACACTGCCACCTCAGGGTCTTTACACTTACTGTTCCCTCTTTCTTGAATGCTGTCCTGCCAGATATTGACATAGCATCCTCTTTTACTTCCTTGTCTCTGCTCACTGAGGCCTGTGCAGCCAGCCTCCTCTGATTCTATACCCCTCATTTGCTTTATTTTTCTCCATCACTTTTATCACTACATAACATACCACGTATTTTG